AAAAAAAAAAAAAAAGAGGACAGATTCCCTCATCAAATAATTATGTAGGATAATGTAAAAGCATGTTGCCGGCAATGGCAAAGTGGAAAAGGATATCTAAAGTTAAAAGTGATTTGAACCTTGGACTAGGTTACCCTCAAAGTTTCACGTCTACAGTTGGTTGATTAAAATTGGATGTACAACACAATGACGAGACCTCATATTTCACCCCTAATATATAGTATTCATTGTAATTTAGAACAAAAGAAAAGTATATCTTCTAACATATTTATTCGATTTGGTTTCTAGGATATTTTTCATTGGCTTAGGTTAAATTAAAGTAGAAATAAAACGAAAGAAAAAAAAAAAAGAGCACAAACATATAATTACCTGATATGCTAACTAGCATTAGCATTATGAACCTTCATTTCTATTATATTTTTGGAAAGTCGCAGGCCTCTGATCACTAACTTAGAATATGACAAGTTGTTTAAATGTTTTTTTTTTTTTATTTTTCAATTCCGGCAATTATTATTACCTGTGACATTTTCCACTTATTGGGAATAAAAATAATTTTTACGTTTATCAAAAGTGCATAACTAACTCATATGTTGGAGAGTTTATGCCTGAGTACAACTGTTTATTCTATTATGGTTTCGGCGCATGTGAGGCGATGAATAATTCTACCACCTTTGCTTACAGGTTAGTAAAGATTGGTAAAGATTAAAGAACCGGTGATTTCCCTGTACTATGGCGACTTAATTTCTTTCATGCTACTTTTATTGTACCATTAAACTACCTTTACCGAAATTTAAGGTGAAATTTCTTTCTTACACCCCATTCTGGTCTTTCATTGAAGTGCACATTGAATTTGGTAAAACTACGGTTGCCTTAGGCCGTGACAATCATTCATTTCTATTGATCATCATAAGTAGGCTCACGTGGCCCTATTGATGGCATTGGTATTTACATCTTTGACATATCATCGATAAATTTTAAGTACTTGTGTTATCACATTTTCCTGCCTACAAATAGTACAACTTGAAACAACTTGATTGTATAGTACTTAGAACTTGTAGTATATTAATAGTTAATATACTGGAAGTATATTATTAGTTGATGTATATATCGTGTAAGTGCATTGTAAAGTATTTAAACATTATTTCATACCATATAAACGGAATAGATAATAGTTCTATATGTATCCCAACTGATAAAATGAAGAAAATACATTTTATGAATTGAAAAACTTCCATAAATTTTAAAAATAAATATGAAAAAAAAAACTATAAAAAATATACTGGGCCGGCTGTGCTGTGCACAGCGAAGGCTGCCTAGTATCTTATATGGAGAAGTGAGGCCATCTCGCTGCTCGACACGTGTCCGTTTTCGTCTACTTCGCTGCTCGACACGTGTCCCATTTACTACAATCATTTTATTTACGTTTTTGCCATTTTTTTTTATTGACTAAGTTACCCTTCAAATTCTCCAGTTTAGTGTTATAGACGCTAGTGCAACTTGTAATTGACTATAACGTACTTCAAATGTCATACACTATTGTAATTTACTATATGATGTGATGGCCATTTTTCCACTATTTCCGCATACGCAACCGACTAAAGGCTGAAAGAGCTTGAAGAACACGATTGTCCATTCTTCTATCCAATTTCAAACCCGTACGTGCGGAGCTCTCCTCTCTCATTTACGCCACCTGAAGAGTGAAGACCCAATCCTCTTGCATATTTTCCCTCCCGAAAAATACCTCTACTCGACGGCGGCGGCGAGGCAGTTTCAACTAAAATCTTGATCTCACTTCAACCGCAAAAACCTCCGCCGCAGTGAAATCTATCGAGATCCACGGCGACAGTCTTCGTCGATCATCAGAACCAAAAGATTCGTGTCTGGAAGACAATGCGAACCAATTCAATTTCCTTTCTTGCGCAAAAAGAAGAGCAGAAAAAAGAAACATTGAATTTGAGGGAGAATTAAAACGAGAGAGAGAAGAAAAATGGATCCGAAATTGATAGAACAAGTCTTCGAGCGATTTAAAGCGGCATTTGTGAGGAAGGATTTTGATACTTGCACCAAACTTCAAAGAAGACAACCATTCTTCTCATCTTTGTTCGCTCCGAATTTTTTTTCCGTTTGTTTTTTTCTTTTTTCTCTGTCTACCTCACCCATATATTTTTTACAGATTGGAGGGTCACCCGCGGAAAATAACAACCTCCGACGAAGAATTTAGAAACTCGCTGCGAGCCGACCTGGTGAAATCTCTTCCTACGCAAAAGTTCCAAATTTAAATATCCCAAATTCTGATGCGTTTAAGAAATGTGTGAAGTCTTATGCTCTGATGTTCTTTGGTTATTTGCCTCTGTTTTGTTGGGAGTGGCTGTTTTACATTCGATTCTTGTTCTGCTATTTTACCCTTTCCTTCTGGCTTGGACTGTTGGCGGGCACTATATGGTTCACGCATTCCAAAAATTGTGCAAGTTTCACCGGTTCTATTTTTATATGAATAATTCATATGATGCAAATGAAGAATAAATATATAATAACTGAAATCATTTATCAGTTGCATAAGGATAGTCAGAAATGGGATTTTCTTATATTATTGATTTTTAGCTATTGTGGGTTTATCTGATTCTTGATTTCTCATTTTGTGCGAAGATCTTCGGTTTTCTGTGGACTTCCTTCTCCAAAAGAAAAAAACTTCTTCTGTGCTTTTTTGTGGCTCTTGTCGAGATCCAAAGAACAGGTTCTTGCTTGCACCTCTCGCCGTATTTTGTGCGGTATATTGTTGTGTTCTTTGAGTGTGTGTTTGTGTGTGTTTTTAGGTGATGGTTTTTATGTGTGTGTTTTATTTTGTTTCTGGGGTGTCAATTTTCATTGACTTCTTTGTGTGTTCGGGTTGGTTGCAGTGAGGATGTCATCGGGTGCGCCTGTGCCGGTTGAGGGGGATGAGGCGTCTAAATCAATAGCCTCTGTTGCGGTGCATGAAGAGTCTAGGTTGGCTGCTTTACAGAGGTGGAGGGGAAAAAAAAGGCGCAGTCATGTCCAGGTGCATTTTCGATGGTCTCAATTTTTTTTTTTTTTATTTTGTTTTGTGTTTTCGGTATGTGGGCTTTCAGTTGTTTACCTTTTGTTGAAAGATTAAAATTTGGAACTGTTTGTGTGAACTTTGTTGCCCTTTTTTCACCGGTTCCTTAAGGTGTGGCTTGCGGTACAAGTGAGGAGGTGGAACTTCATAGTTTACCTCCGTTGTTGCCTGTTGTGTGCTCGCATAAGCTTGCAGGGAAGTTGCTTTGCAGAGGTGAGGTGATAAGAAAGAAAAGTTGTCGTCTTCGGAACATTACTGGCTGGGTAGTAAGCTTTTGAAGCTCTTTCCCAACATGCTGCCATCAACCTTCCAGGACAAGATGAAAGAACTGGTAAAATGCAGTTATAATGTGGGTGGAGTATATTGAGAAACTTTGTCTATCCTTGAGTGTGCTTTTCACTGTGCTCAAAGCAGCCAATGCTATTGGCCGTTCCACTTAATTCTTGTTATGCACTCTTATTGAAGTAACTTCTAGATAAGTCATATTATCAAATATCAAGGTAGCTGTTACTGAGTGTCTTACTTAAAATGTTTTTTTTTTCCCTAATTTTACAACTAGGATGCCAATATTATTGCATGCTTCTTCTCCATTTGTTTTCTGAAACATGTGTATATTTTTCCATCTCTTCATTGCTTATATCTTCTAGCTCTCCTCAGTTGGATTCTTATTTTACTGCAAGTGTCATTGTAGGAAGCATTAAACGAAGGTTGCACGCCAAAATAGAATATGCAAAGTTTCTCCAAGAGACTGTCAAAGAAATGGCAAAAGAGGTGCAAAATTCACGTAGTGGAGAAACTAAGAAGACAGCTGAGGACCTTGCTGAATTTCTGAATAAGGTCTGTACGATTTCAGTATTATACCAATTCATAAGAAGTGTAGCTTATATAAGAAGATTTGTTCAATACAGGTCAGAAGTGGTGCCCGTGTCGAACGAGGAAATTTTGGGATTTGCTAAGCTGTTCAATGATGAACTCACAGTAGATAATATTAGCAGGTTTGTAATTTTGTGGTTGTGCTTTTATCGAGTTCATGAACTCACTAGATAATTTAGCAGGTTTGTAATTTTTTGGTTGTGCTTTTATCAAGTTTCTTTTAATTGTATTACATTATTAATTTAGCATAATTATTTGATATGGTGTTTGAAATTTATGTTGTTAACAGACCACGACTTGTAAATACGTGCAAGTACATGGGTATCAGCTCTATTGGAACAGATGCTTATTTGCGTTATATGCTACGGAAGAGATTGCAGAGGTATGCCATTTCACATTCTGTGTGAAAGCGTGTATTAGTTTGCTGGAAAATGGTGGTTTCTGTTTATAAAGTGCAACAATTAGTTTGCTGGCGAATTAATATCACTGATACAACCCTATTGAAAATGATTTAAGGGAGGAAAGCAAGTATTGCGGATCTTTATTTTCATTGATTTGCTTAGAACTTGTTGATATTAAGTTGGTCAAGCAGGATGAAATTAATTATTTAAGAACATCTCTGATTTTTTTATTTTTTTTTTCATTGAGTTATAATCTAACAGGTCCACATAACAGTGATATTCCCGTGTTCCTCTAATTTTCACAATATAATCCATTATGTTTTGTTATAGCGATTTTATTTTTAACCTTATTGCATGTTTAATTGGGGTCGATTGTGTTCTTATTTAAGGATTAAAAATGATGACAAATTGATTCAAGCTGAGGGCGTGGAATCTCTATCAGAAGCTGAACTTCGTGAAGGTTGTCGTGAGAGGGGCATGCTTGGAGTGCTTTCTGTGGATGAAATGCGCCAACAGGTTTGTATGGGCGAATATTTGTCCAATTGATAGTATCATATTTATTGGTTACGATATGAGATTCCAGTTGTACCTTTCAGTGTTTTCTGTGCTTATAATCCCCTCCCTCAGCTTGACCCTAAACTATTAAAACAGATGGAGTGTTTTGTGGTTATTGGCTTAATAGAGCTGCCATTATGGTCATCTTTTTTCTTTTCTTCAATTCACCTTTTCTCTCTTGCATGATTTAATTGTTAATGATGACATTATTTGCAGCTGCGAGATTGGCTAGATTTATCACTAAATCATTCTGTTCCGTCTTCACTTCTGATCCTTTCCAGGTTAACTAGATTTGTCCCCAACTTTTCCTTCTGTCTGATTTTGGAAAATTATCATAATTGATTCTTAGATTTTTTTTCCTCTGAAGATTCGATTTCTGAAAGGCGGAGGAAATTGGACTTCCTTGAAATGCAGGAAGAACTTATCACGATTGATGAACATGTATTTTCGGTTGAAGAACTTGATTGCAACATGTATTTTCGGATGTACGTGGTTAGTGTTTAGTCAATGACGCTTAATACTTGTTTGAAAACGAGTGGCATATAATATCGATAATATGAGAAAGGGTCTTCAAAGTTTTAGCAACATGTATTTGTTGTTTGTTGTTTTGGAATTTTTGAATGATCGTTTACTGTTATGTTTGTGAGCTTGAGATTGATTGATTTGTTGTTTTTTGGGTTCGTGAAATTTCCGCTTTCGCTACTCAAGACTGCACAAAGTCACCCTATGGTAACACTTCTTACCTCTAAGTATTCTTTCTGGTTTCGTTTTAATTTTTCTGTTGTTTGTTTTCCTATTATTTAGCTCAATTTTGGCAGATGATTTAGGACATTGCTTTAAACTTTTGAAATGGTTGCAAGACACCTACAGTTTTATTATTTTTATTTATTTTTTATTTTTTTAACACTATAGCTTGCTCTTTAAAATCTTCTGTGCTTGCCACCTGATTTTTTTTGTGTGTGTTTTCTCTTGTTTTGTGACAGGTGCAAGCTGTGACGGTCCATGCAACTAACAAGTATTTTGTGACCGCTTCTCCTGAAAAAACCATGGTGCTTCTATGATCTTGCTTCTGGTTTATGCCTCACTCAGGTCCAAACACTGTCTTTCGTATGGATAGGAAACCAAGTTTTTTTTTTGTCATTTAGAGATTTTATCACATTTTTGTAATTTGTAACCCTTTTTTTTTTATATTATGTCGTCTCAGGTTGAGGACGAATCAGGTCTTATGAGGGCTACCATCTGCAGCTTTTCATCTTGATGGCCTTAACCTTGGAACGGGTACCTCTGGTTCTCTTGTTAAGTTTTTTGGGGTGTCAAAAGTCAGGTGCAAATTGTTTTGTTCTTTTTCCTTTAATTGCTAATATCCCTTCTCTTTTAAAGTTTTCGATTAACTTGATATTCTATTTGGCCATTGGCAATGAACAACAAAATGTTGCTAGATTTGACGGGCATGTTGGGGCAGTTACTGCCATTTTATTCTCGGAGAATGGTTATTTCCTGGCGGTATATGTTCTTTCCATAGCTTGATTTTTCCATATTATCATGATGGGTGGCGTTTAACTTTCAGACTGCTGCACAAGATGGGGTCAAGCTATGAGATTTACGTAGATTGAAGAACTTTAGAACATTTGTTCCAACTTATGACAAATTTTCACAGTAGTTTTACACCGGATGTTAGACCGCCGTGCGTGCACGGCGTAAACCCATCTAGTAATATATAATATGGAGAAGTTATATTGCCTCAATAGGTGACACGTATCCCATTTTGAATGCTTCTATGGGCGATACGTATCCATGTGTTCAATAACTATAACCCCAATTTTACTTTACTTTTAAAATTCATTGTGGTCAATTAAATATTTTTTTTCCTGGTGCAAAAGACTCATCTTCCAACACGCATGTCAAAATCCCCCTCACCAAACTCTGCAGTTTGTACATTTTTTCCTCTATTTGAGAAAATTCTTATGGGCAGTCGCGGCACTCTTCTCCCTTTATTTTTTCCGGATTCCTAAACTTTTTTCAAAGATTATCCCCTTATTTCTTAGTCAAAGCAAGGAGGAAAATGAAACAGGGTTTTCGAGAGCTCACAAACCCTAGAAGTCGGCATCTGCTCCACTGAAGAACCCTTTGGTGGTGCGCGTGTAGAAGACGACGATGTCCTGCACTACGACTGCGTGAGTGGCGACGACGATTGAGATAGCTCGGAGATGCCTCTCCGCCGAGCCGCCAGGAAAATAGAATCGTAAGTTGTAAGTTCCACTCTCACAGCCCATTTTCTTCTCGATTGGTTGTGATTATTATCGTTGTGAAGAACTCGGTGAAGGAAAATTGTGGATATTTAGAGTTTTTTCAGTTCTCTCAATCTATTTGTGAATCTTGGTTTGTTAAAAATATTTTTAAACAAAGTAGCTCGAAATGTTTAGAGTCACTTTGTATATTCCTCATTGTTTTTTTAATTCCTAAGTCCATTTTTCAGGGAAGTTATTTGCATTAGTTTGCAATATATTGTGGCTGGTTTTCCTAGGAACCTTTTGCTCAAGTTTTCAGATACACTGTTTCATTTATTTGGGCTTTCAGGAATGATTGGAAATTGACGTTCTTGGAATTCAAATGGGGCGAGAAATGGGGTTGTGCTTCAGAAGACTAATGCAAACAATGTAGTTACTGGGCAACCATAAAAGTTTGGCCCGGCCTGGACTCTGATTTACAAACTTAATCCTCATTTGGAGGACGAACACTCAACTGGCGATGTTGATTATGATCCACAGGTGAGAATTTACTGATCTGGTATGTCTAACAACTTCTCTTACTTTTTCTCAGTCCACAGTTTTCGTTGGCTTGCAGCATTTTTTATTTTTTTTTTTGGGAAAACCTGATTTGTGGTTTTATCCTGATGAGCTACTATTTTCTCTTTCTTTCTCTCATCTTAAAAATAATCTCAGAAGGGAAAAAATGGAGAAACGAGTGAGCGCAATGTTGATGAAAATACATGTGAATTATGTGACATGGGTGTGCACTTGTTCGCACCTCCTCCACCAATGTACTGTACATGTTGTGGAGCTCGAATCAAACACGGGTCATGTTATTACAGGCCGTTGGATGATGAAGCAAACGTAAAATACTCTATTTGTACCTTATGTGTGAAGAACTCTCGTGGTGGTAACGTCTCTTTCAGGGGGCTCACTTTTCCCAAAGAGAAACTGTTGAAGTGCAAAAATACCGATGAACTTCCAGAAGGAGCAAGACTTTATTTATCTCCTTGGTAGCTTTTCCCCCTTTCTGCGTCCAGTTACATTGTTTGCTGTAATAAACGGTGTTTTCTACTTGCAGTCAGTGTGACAAATGTGAAGCATGGCAACATCAGATTTGCGCACTCTATAATTCTAAGCAAGATTTGGAAGGGAAATCATATTACATTTGTCCGTCTTGTCGTCTGTTTGAGTTGGAAGCAAAAGGGCATACCTCCATGCCTCCAGCTCTTGGGGCAAATGACCTTCCGAGGACAAAGCTTAGTGATCATATAGAGCAAAGACTTTTCAAGAACCTGGAAAAGGAGAGAAAACAAAGGGCGGAACTTTTAGGGAAGCCTCCTGAAGAAGTAAGTAGATGATTCCATAAGTAGATGATTCCAGGATAATCATTTTGGAAGTTTTTTTTTAATTATTATTTCTTCTTTAGCTTGAGTCAGTAGCTTGAGTGCTTAACTGTATTTTAAACATAACAGGTACCTAGAGTAGACGATCTTGCCATTAGAGTGATTTTAGCTGTCAATAAGCAATTGAAAATGAAGCAGCAATTTTTAGATATTCTCCATGGTGAATCATATCTATCCTACAGAGTTTCCATATAAATCTAAGGTATGGGATAGCAATTCTTATGACTATATTATATTCTTTTTGTTCTTTGTTCTGTCAATAGGATGTGGATTATTTGATATTGTTTTCTTTTATGAACAAAAGGAAATAAAAAACAATGTAAATGTTTTTCATTTTATCTTTCTCTCACAAAATATTCTCTACATAGGTGATGATGTTGTTTCAGAAAGTTGAAGGTGTCGATGTATGTCTCTTTGCTATGTATCTCCAAGAGTTTGGTTCAGAATGCGGGGTACCCGAATAAACGTTAAGTATACATCTCTTATCTTGATACAGTTAAGTTTTTCAGACCTGATATTTTAAAACTGTGGAAGGAGTGCCTCTGCGTACCTTTGTATATCACGAGATTCTGGTAATAATAAGAAACACCATTTAGTTGTCTAATTTTTTCAACAAATTTTGTTTATGGGTTTTATCTTTTATGAACCATAAGAACCATTTGCTGATCTGTCTTTATTTGCAATCTTTGTAGATTGGGTATCTTGATTACTGCAAGCAACACAGTTTTACCACGTGTTACATATAGGCTTGCCCGCCTATAAGAGGGGAGGATTACATACTATATTGTCATCCCGACTCAGTAAACGCCAAATCCGCATAAGCTGCTTCAGTGGTAAGTATTCTCAACTAGATTAGCAAGACACATTGTGATTGGCCTTCATTTGGTGAGAAAACAGGCTATTATTGAATATTGATTGTGTTGGGATCTTTTATATGATTTATCATTGTATTGTGAATTTTTTAATGTAGGTACAAGAAAAAGCCAAAGAAGAAAAGGTTGTGATGGACTACACTACTTTATATGATTACTTCTTTGTTTCAAGTGAAGAATGCAATAGCAAGATTACAGCTGCTCGATTACCTTACTTTGATGGGGATTATTGGTCTTGTGCCATTAGGACATGATCTGAATAATCGAGAAAGAGGATGAAGAAGATTCTGCGAAAAAGTTGAAAAATTCACGCAACGAAAAGAGCTTTGAGAGCAATGGGGCACAGTGATCTGTCTGTGGAGAAAAACTAAAGATATCTTGCTTATGCAAAAGGTGGGATTGTAAATGAATTCTGTGCACTATTATTCCCATTACATACCCCTTGTAGTATATTAAATTTTGGATTTTCTGTTGATGCCAACTGTTAGAGAGTGGAATTTGATAGAAAATAGTAACAAGAAAACAAAGATAAAAGCAGTATAATATTTAGTAAAGTCCTTTGATAAATTTTAATTGGTTACCAAACTTTAATTGAGCATTTTGTTTGCAAAGTTGACTTGGGAAGTGGTACAAAAGTGAAAAAAATTGCAACAAAATCACGAAGGATTAAAAGGGTAAGAAGTACAATAAAACATTTTATTAAAAACATGAAGAAATAAGTAAAGATGAAAAAATGTTTGTTCCACGGTCATGCTTAATATCAAAGAATCATATTAAATACTACATATCTAGATTGAAAAATTTTGTTCCAACCAAAGCATCATATTAAATACTCCATATCTAGATTGAAAAATTTTGTTCCAACATCATATTAAATATCATGAGATCATATTAAAATCATGAAAAAATATAAACTCGAATTGAAGTTTCATCTCAAGAAGGCCTCATTTATGCTGTGGTAAATCATCGTTTTATTTTTTATTTGAACTATGATGGGAAATTGAGATTTATTTGCATGCATGATAGTGGAAATGAGAGAAATTGAGGAACTCTTTTATATATATATATATATATGCTTTTGCACGCTAGACCGATTCTCCTTGAATCCAACTGCTCGAGCCCTCCAAGACCTGCAAAGACGCCGGGAAGTGTTCCCGGCGGTAAACCTCCGACGCTCAAGTTAGTAAGTTATTCAGGAAGGATCAGTATGTATATTAGGGTTTTTTTTTGAAGGTAAAGAGACTTAGCCCCCCATCATATCTGCGTTACCTATTTATATGCAAGTCCTTAGCTTCCTCTCCACACTTGCTTCTTCAT